ATGCAACGCATTCTCTGCCAATATACAGTGTACTATTATATGATAAAATAGCTTTTAACAGCAATTCATGTGCAATGGGTAGAAGATATTTGCCTGATGATTATGTAAAAAGCAAAAAAAAAAAAAAACTACAGTGAGTTTGTATTCATAACAGGTCACCATGATATTAGTTGCTATGATAGGGAGTTCAGTTTATATCAAGGGAGTTGCTGCACGAAAACCTATTACATGTAGATCAAGAAGGCGTGGTACTAGCAGGCTAAAAACATATTGTGTGGATTTAACATTAGATCAAATACACAGATTGGGCTAAAGGTACACAGCACTTTGCTGTTTAAGACCCTCAAAATTAGCTTTTTAAGCAGCATGGTTTTCTTGCAGTCCTAATCTATGCTCAGGCACAGTGTACCCCTCTCCCATCAGAGCAGGCACTTGCTATGTGGCTGTGCTGTGAATACTTTGGATATGGCGCTGCAGAGATCACTTGGAACTGGTCTCCCCAATCCCATGCATGCGCTGTACTTCTGCTGGAGCCAGAATACAACATAATTCCAGCCCAGGCATCAATACAGAGCAGCAGGGAGCTGGGTAATCAGTGCACAGTGAGTGATCACAGCAGCTCCCCAACTGGACATTATAACGGAGGTTCCACTCTAGCCTTCTCTGTTAAGGTACGAACAGGGTGGACCTCAGTGTTAAAAAAAAAAAAAAAAGTGTGTGTTTGTATATGCATATATATATATAAATGTAAGTATCTCTGTATATATGAATGATGTGGATAAGAATGTGTATGTGAAAATCTGAATTTGTGTGAAAATTCTATAACAAAAGGGAGTGGTAAATAGGGATGGTAAATAGGCAGAGTTTGGGTTGGGGGCAGGAGAGAAGGGGGACAAATATAATTTCTACCCTGGGTGCTATGTAAAATAGGTATGTTAGGGCACCATACATTAAATATATATGTTTTTAGTATACATTTGCTTTAGAAAAATGTGTTCCATATTCCTTATGGTGTCCTTCCCATCCATGGCTACACTCTATAGTTTACACTCATACATGATGGGTCCTTAAATGTTCCTCACTGAGAAGCATGTGATTCAAACAAAAAAACTGTTTTAAATGGACATGGAAGCCCTGTTTCCCCTGAATAAAATGATACATAATAAGTGTGGGTGCACTTAATGTGACAGCGGTGAATTACGGTTGAACAGACATATAGCGCAAATTCCAGGTTTTGTTTACGTTTTGTTTTGGACGGGGGCAAATGTACACGTTGTGAACGAAACAAAATGTAAACAAAACCTGGCATTTGCGCTACATGTCTGTCCAACCATAATTCACCTCTTTCATATTAAATGCACCCACCCTTATTATATATAATTTTATTCAGGGGAAACAGGGCTTTCATTTAATATCAAATATTTAGCTATGAAACATAATTTAATATGAAAAAAATGGGAGAAAATAAGATTTTTTTTATTTTTTTAGTTCTACATGACATTTTAACTGTCAATGTCATAATACTGTTTGCTTTTACTGCAATAAAATACACATATTTGTATTCAGCAAAGTCTCACGTGTAAAACAGTACCCCCTATGTACAGGTTTTATGGCGTTTTGGGAAGTTACAGGGTCAAATATAGCACGTTACATTTGAAATTGAAATTCGCCAGATTGGTTACGTTGCCTTTGGGACTTTATAGTAGCCCAGGAATGAAATTTATACCCACAATGGCATACCAATTGCAATAGTAGACAACCCAAGGTATTGCAAATGGGGTATGTCCAATCTTTTTTAGTAGCCATTTGGTCACAAACACTGGCCAAAGCTAGCGTTAGTATTTGTTTGTGTGAAAAATGCAAAAAACGGCAATTTTGGCCAGTGTTTGTGACTTAGTGGCTACTAAAAAAGACTGGACATACCCCGTTTGCAATACCTTGGGTTGTCTACTATTGCAAATGGTATGCCATCATAGGGGTAATTTTCATTCTTGGGCTACCATAGGGTCTCAAAGGCACCGTAACCAATCTGGCGAATTTTAATGTGAAAAAAATGAAACGCAAGCCTTATATTTGACACTGTAACTTTTGAAAACACCATAAAACCTGTACATGAGGGGTACTGTTGTACTCGGGAGACTTCGCTGAACACAAATATTTGTGTTTCAAAACAGTAAAAAGTATCACAGCAATAATATCGTCCGTGTAACTGCTGTTTGTGCATGAAAAATGCAAAAAACTTCACTTTTACTGGCGATATCATCGTTGTAATACATTTTACTGTTTTGAAACACTAATATTTGTGTTCAGCGAAGTCTCCCGAGTAGAACAGTACCCCCCATGTACAGGTTCTATGGTGTCTTGGAAAGTTATAGGGTTAAATATAGTGCTAGCAAATTAAATTCCCTTTACTTTCGGCATGGGTTGTCAGGCAGGTCCCGCTAATTGTAATTAATTAAGATACCTAATTATGTAAAAATATTACATAAATATATATGTAGAATTAATATATGTATATATATACACGTATGTGAATCTATATGTGTATATATATATAATTAAAAAAAAAAATTATTTATATATAGGTATATATATATATATATATATAGTGATATATACGTATATATTTATGTATGTAGATATATATATTATTTTGTTCTACGTGTATTTTGATATAAATATATATATATATATATATATATAAATATCACAATACAGTTACAACGAAATAACACACATCTATATATTTTTTAATTATTTTATTTTAATTTTATTTTTTAACGTATTTACATATTTAATTTTTTTAGATTATATATAAATATATATATAACAATAATTATATATATATATATTTAATCAGTATCAGTCTACGTGTAATTTGATATTAATATATATATATATATAAGTATATATATTAATAGTAAAATACACCTAGACAGTGTATGTGTGTGTATGTATATGTGTATATATATATACTTAGATCATATAATATATATATGATCTAAGTATATATATATATTTTTTTTTACACTTAATTAATTTATTTTAATTTTATTTCTAGCCAGCAGGGGGACCACCTGTCATTACAGGCAGCCCCCCCTGCTGGCAATACAGCAGCCAGCTATACCGGCCATGTGATTGTGGGGTCCTCGCAAGGACCTCACTCTCACATGGCCGGAGGAGGATCTGCCGCGGGGGGGCTCCCTGGGAGTCCCCCCCCCCCACCGCGATCGCCGGCGTGGGACCGCCGGCGACCAGGTAAGTAAAGAACAACCAGAGGGCGTACAATTACGCCCGGCGGCGTTTAGAGCCGCCTAAAATAGGGCGTAATTGTATGCCCTCCGGTCTTAAGGGGTTCCGGCCATGTGATCACGAGGATCCCGCGATCACATGGCAGAGGGGGGCCGGAATTTGGCAGAGAGGGTCAGCCTGAGCTCCCAGGCAGACCCCAGGATTGCGACCGCCAGCGTGGGATTGGCGGGAATCCTGTAAGTAGTAATGTCCTCCAGGGGTTAAGCAGCAAAAGAATGGTGTGGGTGGCAAAATTAACAAAATTTAAATAGTCTTAGGTGTACTTAAAGGGACACTCCAGACCCCTAAAGCATTTTAGCTTCATAAAAAGCTTTATGTGTGAAGAGTGTGATCTATTTTTTTATTTTTGTAAAAATTGCAGGTTTTGATAGAAACTGACACTTTTATAACTTAACATGGTTACCCCCCCTTCCCCCAGCAGCTTTAAAGCAGAAAACAGGTCCTGTTATTATTACCTGGTTATTTAGCTCAGTAGAGATAAAAACTCAAGAGGGAGGCAACCACTCAAAGCAGTGGTTCCCAAATCGTCCTCATGGCACAGCAACAGTCCAGGATTTATGTGTTTCCTGGCCCAGAACACCTGCCTTGCACAGACTTCTCATTGAGCTACACTGTGATTGGACAGTCAAACAGTGTTGTCAGGTTAGAAGGGGAAGATTTGCAAAGGCAACAGACAAGGTGCAGAATTTGCAAGCTGATTTTAGTCATAATCACGAAGAAACAAATGCATAATTAAATACATGCATGTTTTAATTTGGGGTATATCTACTAAATAGTGATTTTTTTAATTAGTAGAGTGTCCCTTTAAATTTTGTAAAAGACACAGTTTATCAGTGAGGTGTATTCTGACCACATCATGACTTAATCCGTGAGTGTTTACAGAGGGTGTAATCTGTAAAACTACCTAAATTCCTCTTTACAAACTACAGTCCTGAACTATTATTTTTTCCCCTTTCGTATAAAAGCAAGTCTCGTCTTATAATCATGGATGAGCCTAGCAAAAACATTCAGGAAACAATGACAATTTGAAAAACATAGTTGAAGATTCTAACTCCATGGGTCTCCCTTCATAAAGCAGAATCTTGTTTATCCCCATTCTGAGACATGTATTACTAAATAGCTATTTCTCTCTTTGCTTGAATCCCTATACTGGAATGCTGCAAAGGCTCTTCTGGAACTATTGTTTTTAGCTCAGAAATGTATTTAAATTCAAAATCACGAAGGGCAGGGTGCAGATATTATATTTCTAGGTGCCTAGTAGTATGTAAATAAAATTAGGTGTGGTTTCTGAAAACGAAATATTGTCCTGAATTGCAATTTTTGTTTCTTCTGCCGTTTTAAAGCTTTCTTCAAATAAAACAGGGCTGAACAAAAGTTAGATCCCCAGTTACTCTAGAATTGCAACTCTTCATCACCTTTCCTGAAGGCTGAAAATGCATATTGGTAACTGTAGATCTGCTACATCTTGGGGTTATCTTTTTACAAGCCCAATATAAAATAATAGATTTTTTTTTTTTTTTTTTTTAAATAATTGTTTACCAGTTTGCTTAGTGAGGTGAGCATTTCCAAAATCAATATTTCTGGCGGGTGAGCAAACAGTGCTGCTATCTTGCCACACCTGTAATATTATAGGGCACCCTAACCTGCCCTAGCAAGGATTTCTTTACTTGTACAGCTTACTGTTACTGGTAATATGGTGTTATTCAGCCTGAGATTGACACAGGCTCCAGGGCAAGGGCTGATTCATTATCCAGCTCAGTTATACCTGGGGAAAGGAGGGACAAACCTGATCGAAACTGCCACAGGTGGCAGGAGGAAGGGCTGAACTTTGCTACTGTCAGTAGATCTGTGGGAGGGGAGCTGAGGAAGGAGCTGCTGCACCTGTACTCACAGGTACGAGAGATCACCTGTGGCTGGGTCTCGGGCTCTGACTGCACAGCGCTGTACAGTCATGTATGTGACGCTGGAGTACTCTGCGTCAGTTCCATCATGAAACTGCAACTGTGCTGCAAGAGTTAAAGAACAGGTAAGCTGCTACACTGTAATACTACTGGTATTACTGCTGTAAGGGGTGGGTGTGGAACCAATAGTGATTATTTTATTTTTTAGTGCGGGGAGGGGGGAGGAATGTGATACATTAAACCCTGTCAAGGAAATGGATCAGTGTAAACAGTAATGAATGGGGAAAATATGCAAGACCTCCCAATGACCTCTAGGTTGGGTGAAGCTAGTCTTAGTATAGGCAATCCTTCATAAGAGAGTAGGTCACACTTATTAAATCCTGAAGATGCTCTGTGACTTATTTCTTAAGGCAGTGTGTACTCTGTAGGTTAATCTGTGCTTGGCTCTAGGGGTTCTTTTTGAGTTTACCTGTTCTGGACTCTGGGGGGGTCTTTAGGAGTTTACCTGTGCTGTGGTTTGGGTGTGCTCCAAGGGGTTAATCTGTGATAGAGTTTTGGAGCGTACATGATGCTATTTGCAGGTTTATTAAGTGTCACTAGATAAGTGTCTGACTCATGGAGAGGCAGGCGGTGTCACCTGTTGGTTCTGTTATCTGATGTTACTGGATGGGGAAGTGAGAAATCATTGGAAGCAGGCAGTAATTCAGGGATGTCTTTCTCAGCAATCACAGCCATCAGTAGCTGGGGATGCCTGCATTAATGTAACTGGTGGATGCAATCCAGTCTGTGTTTCGCTGGGTGACAATTCTACCGGCCTCTAATTTCTGTATTTAGAAGCAATATGGTAAAGGTTTAGAGAAAGAGACGTCTACATTTTACTTACCAAATACTAATTTTAGAAATGTGGTAAAAAATGCAATTTTATTTTTATTTTATTTTTTCACACAATTGTGTTCAGGTGTATACAGATATCGTCAATAAACCAAACTTTTGCAAAGAGTCCATAAAGACCTAAACAAGGGACAGGGACAATAATCTGGCTCTGCACTAGTATGCACCTGGGCTTTGGGACAAATATACACAAATTACCCTTTTTTTCACACAATACATGCAGATCTTGGAGTCGATGGGATGGCCCTACTGACATGGAGCATGCAATATATAGGTTTTGACGGGTGGAGGCTGCTGGAGTTGCAAGTGCCTTAAAATATCTCTGCATCCTCCATCAGTATGACCTGTGCAGATGATGGCACATTCACAAAGACTGAGCAAGAGATGAAAACTGTTTCTGTTGTGTGTTACTGTGGTCTACTGAGAATTCTCCTAATTGGCCAGTCCATACTGAGATAGTGGGCAACAAATGCATACAGTGCTGGACTAGGAAAGGTTCCCTACTGCCTAAATCAGGCGTAATCAACCTTTTACTACCTACCGCCCACTTTTGTATCTTTTTGATGGTAAAATTTCCTTACCACCCACCAGTCCTGCAGTAACTAATTTTATAGCGCAAGTATGATTTTTTTTTTTTGTTTTTTTAGAAAGGAGAAATATGTCTTAAATGTATCTTTTTTTTTTTTTCTCCTTTTTTTTTCACTTTGTGTGTGTGTGTGTGTGTGTGTTTGTGTGAGGGTGACAGTGTGTGTTAGAAGGATGCAGTGTGTGAGAGAGAAGGATGCAGTGATCTCTCCTGCCAGCATTGGTCCACGGCCAACTAGGCCCACTGGGCATTTTCTGCAGAACCCACCACCGCCCACCGGAAATCATAAACCAGGTTGACTACCCATGGCCTAACTCCTACGGTAATCCAACAGACATGATAATGCGTCTCCGGTTAATTTAATCAACATAAGAATGGTTTGAGACTGCATTCCATAACCTCTGTATGCAACTGGCATACTAAGAGGCAACAACAACCTGCCCAGTGGCGGATCCAGGGGGGGCAATGGGGCAATTGCCCCCTCTGAGAAATCCGCCGGTCTCCCTCTCCCCTGCCAGGACATGCAGGTGCTAGCCCTGCTTATGTGCCTGCGGATCGGGGAGGGAGATCATAGATCTCCCTCCCCGTTCCGCAGGCAGCTGGCAGGGGAGGGAGTGAGAGAGAGGACCCGGGAGCTCAGGCTGCAGCTCCTCCGGGTCCTCCTCTCTCGAGATTTGGAGCATTGCCGTGGTTACCACGGCAACGCTCCAAATCTCGCGAGAGTGAACTCTTGCCCTGGAGCGTGGGTTAGAGTTCACTCTCCCCACTGAGACCACCAATGAATCCCCCACCAGACTACCAGGGATCGAAATATGTCCCCCCTCCTCCTCCATAAAGGTAAGAAAGGAGGGGGGACCTGCCCCCCATACACACACACTGCCCCCCCATACACACACACTGCTTACTCTGCCATACACACACACTGCCCCCCATACACACACACACACACACACACACTCTACACTACCCCCATACACACACACACTGCCCCCTTACACTGCCGTCCCATACACACACATTGCCCACACTCACACTGCAATACTCACACACACTGTAACTGTTACACACACATACTGTCCGAAACATACACTGCATCCCTGACATACACTGCCGCCCTCACTCACACACTACAACCTTCACACACACACACACACACACTGCACCCCTTACACATTGCACCACTCACACACACCACTGCTCCTATGCCCTACTACAGCTCGATTTCCCAGCAGACCTCAGGTAAGTTGTCAAACTGTTCTTAAACAATTTGACTACTTACTCTGGGAGGGGGTCCCGGCACTATTGACACCATAACCACTACACTGAGCTGTAGTGGTTATTGTGTCTGGATTATTTCTTTAATCCACAAGTACCCCTCCCGAGATCAGGCTCTGGATCCGCCACTGAACCTGCCCCCATTGCCAGCTCTGCCATGGCCTGTGCACACCCATTAAACATTCCTCTTATGGCAGTATTCTGTACAAGGAATAGTTCTGCACTCTCATTGTGATTTTAAGAGATTGTGGTAAACAATGTTGACATTAAGAGGAAAAAAAAAAAAACTTTATTTTTAGAATGGTGTACGTTAATTTGCACAACAGAGTCAAGTACAAAGAGTATACTATGCAAACCAAAAAAGCTAAACCAGCATGTTATCCTAAAGACACATTCCCCAAATGTCAAAATAATATCAATATACCAGAAGGATGCACACCTACTAGAGTTGCTTATTGCCGACTCCTATAGGCTCATTGTAAGTTATTCGTCATTGCTTAGTAGTTTTTTTTTTTTTTTTTTAAGCCTTTGTCACTTGTTGCTGATGTGGTTTTACAATAATTTATGTTTTGAGTAATAAAGATTACTATTGGCAATAAGCAATTGTAGTAGGTGTGCATTCTTCTGTGTACTGAAAGTTATTTAGCAAAAGTACAAATTTGTGATGCAGCCTACAATGACCAATTGCTAAGTATTCAGAAAAAACTATAGTAGTATTAACGTAAAAAACATCCACAGCCACAAGGTCAGTGTATAAAGATCAGCAGCACTGGTGGATACAGTGTATCCAGTCAATTGTAGCGCTCAGCTAGAGTCCCAAAATAAAGATACAATGTGTAAATCAACATTGTCACCGTATGGGGACTTTGCTGCATTCGCAAATGGAACAGGGCCATTTAGACTTGAGTGAATTAGCCAGTAGGTTCAAGGCCGGTGCTTGGATTTTTAGGTACATAGGCGAAGATGCATTTTTCCGCCCTCCCCCCTCCCCCCCCAAAATCTTCACCTATGTGCCTCTTAACCAGCCCCTCTCCCCTCCCCGACCATTAGTGGTCCCTTCCGTTCCCTGTCCCTTAGTGTTCTTCTCCCCTCCCCCCTTTCCCCCTCCCCCCTTTTTTCCCTGTCTCTTGGTGTTTCTCTCCCATTCCCTCCCTGTCCCTTGGTGCACCCCCACCCCTTTAGTGGTCACACTTCCTGGTGTGTGCCTCCTACCTCTATTGTTGCATTGCCGAGTGGAGCAGATCCCCTAAAGGAGCTTCAGTTTTCTGTACCCGGACGGACTGACAGGGAGTGCTCTCTCTGTGAGCACCTCCTGTCAGTCTGGCCAGGTACAGGAAACAGAAGCTCCTGTACCGCGCTCTGCTCCACTACACTCTGTACACACTGACAGTCACACACTCAATGATAAACACACAGACGTCACTGACAGACACAGACTCATTGATCTGACACACACTCATTCATTGACACTGACAGACCCACACTGATTGACACTCATTGACAGACACACTGATAGTCACACACAGACTCAATGACAAACATACTCTCACTGATTTGACAGACACACCCTCATACACTGACAAACACACTCATCATACACTGACAGACACACTCATACACTCACATGCACACACACTCATACAATCACTCACAGACACACAGACAGTCACTCACTCACAAACACACACTGTCACTCACAGACACACACCAAAGCACACAGTCACTCACAGACACACACACACACTGTCACTCACAGACACACGCTCAGTCACTCAGACACACACACTCATACAATCACTCACTCACACACACTCAGTCACTCAGACACACACACTGTCACTCACAGACACACGCTCAGTCACTCACAGACACACACTGTCACTCACAGACACACGCTCAGTCACTCACAGACACACACACAGTCACTCACAGACACACACACACACAGACACACATCACATACATTCACTAATAATTTTATAAATAAACATTTTCCACCCAGCCTCCCTACCTGGAGAGCTGGTGTGGATGCTGGATCGGTCCCTGAGGGCTGGGGCTGCTGAGAGGCGCGCGGCAGTGCTGTGATCAGGCGCGCGAGGGAGCTCTAATCTCCATCCTCTGCTCCCTCGCGGGCTGCCTACTGATGACGTCATATTCCGGCTCCCGCGGCATCAGTAGGCAGCGCGCGAGGGAGCAGAGGGTGGAGATTAGAGCTCCCTCGCGCGCCTGATCACAGCACTGCCGCGCGCTGCGCCGGGGGTAGAGATGGTGGCCTGGCAGGAGGGAGAGCTTCCCTCCTGCCGGTCACTGAAATATTGCGCCCCCAGAGCCCGTGCGCCCTAAGGCGGCCGCCTGTGCCGCCTTATGGACGCGCCGGCCCTGAGTAGGTTACTATATATTTCTAATAGGTTACTCATTCCTAACTGGGGATGGGAGAGTTAAATACATGAGGATTCTGTAAAAAAATGAAGAAAAAAAAAAATCTGAAAAGTGCGTCTGTAGCACTTCAGAGCCCTTAGGGGGGATATCGCTATATAAAAATGCAGAGTTTTATCATTTGGAAAATAAAATATTTTGCCAGAGAAGCTGTGCTATCCTGCAGTAGAGGCAGCCCTAGAGGCAAGTTTTGTTGTAGGTAAATGCCTTTCAGTTAGTGAGGCGTTCACCTGGATCTATTTCAGGTCGTTTGACCAAATCAGTTATTTATTCAGATATAATGTTAAAAAAATGCATACCTCAGGGCTGGAACAAATAAACATGTCTCCACTAATTACAGCTCTGAAGTATATCTTTTTAAAATGCCTGAATAAACATGAAATATGCTCATCTTGCTTAAAGGTGTGTAAGGGGTTAAAGGGATAAGAGACCTAATCCTTTTTCAGTATAACTTGCCCCATTGTTTTTTAAAGAATGAAGAAAATGTACTAAATACATTCATTAAATAAAAACTATGCTTGGTTATGATACAATTACATCTTGTGCTCTGAGCTCTACCCAGATGAGGAAGTGTCTGATGCCGGTCAGCTAATGTGATCTCTCCAGGGCCGGCACAACAGCTAGGTGAATTAGGCAGTCGCCTGGTGGTGCAATGTCCGGGTGACTGTCAGGAGAGGAGTGCATTGCACAGTGCTCCTCTCCCCACACTGTATGTAGCTTCTGTATCTTGTGAAAGTGCTCATTAAGATCACAAAACAGCTTCCTGTCAGACTGGGGAGAGAAAAGTGAAGCTGCTTAACTGCAGTCTGCAGCTTGGTCATGCTACATGGGAGGTGAGCAGGCAGAGGGAAGGGAGGGAACCACACTGGCAGTAAAGAGGCACACAAACGGCTGAGGGGGTCAAAGAGATGCACAGAGGGCTGAGGGGGGGGGGGACACAGATGCACAGAGTGGCTAGGGGGCAAGATAGAGACTCACACAAAGGGACTTGGGGCAGGCGAGACAGAGACTCACACCAAGCCACACACATTGGCCATTTTTTTTTTTTTTTTTTGGGGGGGGAGTGAGGGTGCAATTAGGTAGTATTTGGTTGTGGTGACCTGAAGTGTACGGGAAGGGCAAATATTTGTAAAGGCTTACAGGAATAGATGGTGAGCCAGGGACATGCTAAATCTGGTCTATTTATTAAAAAGGTAGTCCTACTAGGAAAGAGTCATGTTTGTCTTGCATGAATTTCTGACAGCTGTGCTTAAATTTTTTTATATGTGCTTTAGGGTTTCAATGTAATGCTATAAAGTTAACATGCATTTTGGTGAAATTCTATGGCTAGGACCATGCATACCACTAACCAAGGTTCGCCATTTGGGTGTCACTGCATATGCATGAGATTACCTAACCCCACTCTAAACAGCCCCCTTGAGTACCCTTACCGCCAGCCACTCCATATCCTTCTAAGACTGGTACAATTTCCACAATGTGACCTGGAGATTACCACCGGCTACCTAGAACTCCATCCAGGGTAACAAGTCAGCATCCACCGCTCAGAACTTTCTAGGAGTAGCACTCAAACATCAGAGTGCTAATTGGAGAGAAGGATGTAGAGGTAAAGAGGGATCTGTAGATGATCATGCACTCCTCTCTCGTAGACTCCAGTAACACATTTTCCTTGAATGGGACTAACTGGCCACACATGTGGAACTCTGAGCCAGATCGGAGGATGAACGTGACCCTGTCAAACTGTAAAGTGTTGTAGCTTGGACTAGGAACCTCCAAAGCCTGGCTTTGTTCCCTGGTGTCCATTGATGTACATTAATGTGTTAAGTATTTATGGCACTGCATCCATGAAGGAGAATTTCAGAAGCGCTCCACACATGGGCAGCCGTGATTGACAACAAACAAAGTAACTTCTAGCCAACCTAACATTCATGTGGCCTATATTGACACACTTTAGTTTTGACAGAGATACTCCTTTCTAGAAGGTTACTCCTGCCCCATCATTGTGCCCCGTAACCATCCCAACGCATGTTTAGAGATGTGTATATTTGGGATTCATTTCAGATTGGTGTGGTTTTATTTATTTTTTATATTAAGCTGCATTTGGATATATAGCTTATATAATTTATACTTCTGAAGCACACATTTGTAAAGTAACCCTGTAAAAGAAAACTAGGTCATTTTAATATCCTGGAGTCCTGTGATTTTACAATCTGAAACCCTTATGACTCATTTATTCTTTGTTTTCCAGTTATGTGTTCATTGTATTGTAAACAATACGGTGATCCATGTCTATTAGCCACGCATTAAGCTTCATATTGACATAACAAGCAAGCGGTCAGTCATGTGTCATTTACATTAAGCATGTGCAAGGCATCCTGCAATGACATTCATGTTTATTCACCAACCCTGAATTGTAGGGAATTACACATATTAGAATAAAATAACAAAGCTGAAACAGGAGAAGGAGAATTTTTCCAGCCTGACTATTTTGGTATAAAAGTTTTTTTGTTTGTACTTTTATGTTACTTCATCAGAGTCGTAAAAGGTGGTTATAACGTGACATGTTTTAATTATAACTTTAAAACTAAGCTTTAGTTCTTCAAATTACATATCCTCATTTTGACATATTTCACAGATGAATTGATAAATCGTTTTCCAATATAATGATGCAATGCCTTCCCAAACCACCTCCTCATCCAGTTGAACTGGATTATTCGATAAACCCACACCCAATTAGGAAGTATTTTATGGTACACTAGGGCACTCAAGGGGTTACTTGCCTTAACTTGTGCAAATAAGACAATTACTTATAACATGTGGAACTGTCACGCCTTTTTTTTTTTTTGCTCACCTTAATCGCTAACGACTCTTTGGTGCTTGTTCGTTTTTGTTTGTTTTGGGTTTTTTGCCTCAGATTCTCTGCATTAGTTGCATTTTTGCTATCTCTTTATTTTACCATATTTTTTCACAGTTACTTCTCACACAGTGCACCATTATGTGTTCTAATCAAAGGGCAGTTAAGGCATTCTTGTAACACCCTATATGTATACTTATAGATGTTTAAAGCAAAACATTTGGTGTGCTGGGACTCAATGTTTTTTAATAGTGGTCACTGAATCCCAAATCGCTTTACAAAAGTATATATTTGTTGAAAGACTACCTCTCCAGGTTACTACCCAGGACCATTTTTGACATTTTCATGTTAGAGCTTTATCACAAGTCTCTGCCATAATTTTTGGTTAAAGTTTGTTTTTCACAAATCTTTATGCACATTGCAGTTTCCCTGTGAATAATAGTTTCCTTATGTGGGCTAATACAGAAACTCATTTTGTGGTATAATCGTATTCTTTTTTTTTTTTTCTCTTCAGCTATTTGGTCTATTTAGAGATGTGTCAATTACAGATTTCAGACTTTCCAGTTTGACAGATTGATTTTCTAAGCCTAGATCACGTTTTGTGCTGAAGCGCTCCAGTTCTGAAATGCCAATGCCATGAAAAACATTGGCAAAAGTAATAAGATTGGGGCATTTTGTTAGGGACCAGGGACCAGACAGAACAAAGATGCAAAACTCCTTTTTATTAAACAAAAATAGCAACAAATGAAATAAACCAAAAGCAAAGTCCAGGAGGCAAGCAGGGGTCAGGCACCAAAGTGGGTAGTCAGATGAGCTGGAATCAGGAGAACGGAGAGCAGCAGAGTCAGGAACCAGGATTTACACAGGAAACAGGAAGTCTTCTGGGAAACGGGAAACCAAGCAAGGAGGTACTGGAACTTGCTGCTTAAATAGGCTGCACTGATTAGCAACAGGGCTGGCTACTAAGAACCAGGTGAGTAACCGTGGAAACAGTAATGAAGGAGCTGATCCTTAACAAGCAGCTGAATAGCTCAGACACAGAGAGAGGAAGGGATTGCTGTTCAAAACAGCAGAGAAACCCTGACAGTACCTCCCCCTCAATGGCCTCCCCCACCCTCACAGATGGATTTAGGTTTCATGGGAAGCCAGGCATGAAAAGAATGATGGAGGCACCAAGTATTGGATCTGTCCTCTGAACAGTCATGAATCAATTATGCTGCGTATTTCATATTCTTCGTGGTTATCAACCAGAACAGGATGTGGACGTGGCACCGAGGTGGTGTAGCGATTACATTTACCAAGGGTTTCAAGAGGGGAAACATTAAATACATTAGAGATCTGCATGCTAGGAGGAAGATCAAGTGCATAGGCTACATGGTTAACCCTTCAAAGTATAAGAAATGGCCCAATGAAGTGGGGTGCCAGTTTTTGTGAGGGAACACAGAGCCGTAGGTTGTGGGAAGACAGCCAGACCCTCTCTCCGACCTGATAGGTAGGTGTCTGCAGTCGTCCTGGAGTTTTTAGTTCTGTATTGCGCGTCGCAAAAGTTCTGAACCTGCACCCAAGTGGAACGGAGTTCCCTGAGATGTTCCTACAATGCCGGTATCCTGTGTGGCATGAACATATTCGGAGACATGGACGGTTGAAACCATAGTTCGCCTAGAACAGGAATAGACGGGAAGAGGCATTAATAGCACTATTGTGGGTGAACTCTGCCCAGGGTAGCAGATGTGGAGCCAGTTGAAATATCAAATACCCTTTTAAAGGACTCCACAAATTCAGGGTTCCCAGAGAGAACCAGATAAAGACAGAACGTAAATGCAAAACACCTTTATTAAATAAATACCAACAAATTAAATAAATCAAAAGCAAAGTCCAGGAGGCAAGCAGGGGTCAGGCACCAAAGCGGATAGTCAGAGGAGCCAGAATCAGGAGAACGGAGAGCAGTGAAGTCGGCAACAAGATCAGAAATACACAGGAAATAGGAAGTTTTCTGGGAAACAGGAAACCACACAAGGGCAAGGAGGTACTGGAACTTGCTGCTTAAATAGGCTGCACTGATGAGCAACAGGACTGGCTACGAACAACCAGGTGAGTAACTGTGGAAATGGTAATGAAGGAGCTGATCCTTAACAAGCAGCTAAATAGCTCAGACACAGAGAGAGGAAGGGTTGCTGTTTAAAACAGCAGAGAAACCCTGAGACATTTTTAGTTTTCACGTGGCATTTCACCCTGAACTTCAGATGAATGAACATTGCATTTTTTTTTATTTTTTTTTGGGTCACAATCGCAGATGTGTCCTACAGGGGAAAAAAAACAGATTTAGCTGTCGACTAAGGTTCAGTTTTATTCCAATCACTAGGCCTTGTAGCCAGTTGAGACCTGTTACAGTACTCCTTTATGTGAGCTGTTCTCAACCTAACCACATGCATATCTTATAGCAGTGGCCATCTGACAAGGTAACAGGCTCGCTAGTATTGAATATTGTCAACTAAAATGTTGTTAATGGACAGCTATGTCCAAAATTCTACAGGTCATAGAGGCCATCCCTTTTGACTATAATATTGATCCTCACAAACTTTGCATATCTCTAAGGAATTTCACATATTTAGAACATGGTTTACATTCTTATAATACACTATTTTTAGAATACCAGAAAAATAGCTGTCTTTCTATTTTGTGATTTACATTATGGCCATGCTATAATAAACTGGACCATATTTATCCAACACCTGTTTGGAATGGAGGCGAAAATGCTCTTCAATTTTTAAACCATCAAAAATTGTGACTGGTAAATAAAGAATGTTTTTGAAAGGCCAGCAACCAATTAGAACCTTGAATTTCCTCATGAAGTTTGATGAGCATCATTTATCATCTGTGACTGTTGCCTGTTAGAATGTGTGGAGCGAATGTCCCCTCCACATGCACCAAAAAGAAGCAATCCAGTCACACACTGGCAGTTTATTTTTGAGTTGACTGTTGACAAACCGAGGTGCCCACTTTCATATTTATCAAATGACATATTTTAGTTATAATTAACATTATATTATTTAAACCGTGAATGTAAACTTTTTGAGGTCTTGTATGAGAGTGGCATTTAGTACAAGTTCTTTATTTTTTAATACATATCCATAAGAAATCTCAGTTTGTCTCACTAGTCATTCACTGCCATTTATGTATATATATATGGGGGTGGGGGTTACTTTCCAGCTCTGATGTGTATACCATATATAAATTAACTGAATGTTATAACCTCTCAATCTGGATGTTTGTAAAGAAAGTCTCTTTATTCATCAATATTTCTGCTATCCTAGAATGTATATTGAACCTACCATGTTTGGCCAATACTCAATGTCAAGGCAATAAATCGCATCTCTGAGATAGCTAGAGATAGATAACTATATATATATATATATATATATATATATATATATATATATATATATATATATATATATATATATATATATATATATATATATATCTATATATATCTCTCACTGTGCCAAAATATTCCATTTGTGTTTAGAACAAATTAAATTTAGAACAACCCAATATGATTGTTTAACTTTCCTTTAATCTGTTGGGTAAAAGCTATACTTGCCAGACAAGTCAACTCTCACAATGCATTGCATTCATTATCTTTTTACCTTTGTGTAACCTGCACATGCCTTTCTGGAAATATGAGGAGGGTGTGTAGGAATAATGAGTTAGGATGACTGTGACTGGCATTTCAGGAATTATGCCTGCAGTGTATGTCGAGTCTAATGGAAAAGCCACCCATATCAAACTAATTTCTTTTAAATATAGGAATGACAGTGAGTGAATAAAATAATTTAAAAAATAACATCACTATAAACAACAATACAAACCCTAGTAAACAAATGCAAACGAATTGCAGCAATAGTATAGGTGTAGAGGTGACACAACACAATGGAAAACATGAATACAAAAAGATAAGTCCTGCGCTCACTCCCATCACTACTGGGCCGGCAGCAAGGACTACAGTACACATCAGCCCCAATATATAGTAAAAACCAAAGAAAAGAAAAAGTTACCTGCGCTCTCTCCTTAATCCCTATGTATATTTTTAGACAAATAGGTCATTTAGTTGCTCCAATGGCGATTGGAGGGAATGCCCGCCTGTCAACGTCAAGGCAGACCCCCCTAAGCGGGTCCTAACACTGACCTAACAAGACGCGAGGACTTAGAAAAAATATATATACATGCAAGTATTACTGAAATGGATAAAATATTGCGCTTATCTAGAGCAGAATGTAACCTGCATATACAGAATATAAGTGCTGAATCCATCCAGTATTACAAGCATCACTGGATGGATAGAGTGTTGTGCTCATCTGAAGCAGAGTGTGACCTGCATAAACACACTATAAAAGCACAAAATCTATCCTATTACTTCTTTAGATCTTTAATGTCAAATCATAAGTTAAATAAGGGTATATCAAAGGGGTATATCAGAATCCAAATTCCTGATTAATTTTTCTTTGTTCAAAACCCACTAATTTAGCTCAATGAAATGAAAACACGGTAGAATGAGATAACACAAGACAAAAAAACTAAAAGCAAATTGAATCAAGATAGAGTGTAAAACCCGCTTAAACAAGATATATTCAAATTGGCGTATTAAATACAAGCCAGTCGCAATATTATCGAGTGGGTAATAATCCACTCTAATTCCCATCAAATTTAATCTCGATTTATTATGCCTTTTATCTTAATCTCAAAACGTAGATCAAAATTATTATAAAAATAGGTAAAGATCAAATAGAACCAAATAACAGAAGGTCCTTCGAGAGTATACACATGGAGGGGGAGATGAAAAACAGGGAGGTAGGGGAGACAAAAAAATAAATCTTTTAATTCAATAAAATATTACAAAATAATAAATAAGCCAAGAAAAAATATATATACAAGTGGTACAAAAAATTATTATTATTATTATTATTATGGCTGACAGGTTAAATAAAGAAAAATAATAATAAATAAATGAATAATGTATATGATCAAGAGAAGGGATCCATGTGACACATGTACCGGAACATTCCATTATCAATGGTTAAATGAACGGTGCGAATGAAAAGCCTTCGTTAAAACCTAGGGGTTGGAGTGTCTTCACTTCATATATCCACCTAGACTCCCTCTGTCTTAAGATCTTATCAAAGTCTCCACGCCTTGAATTTCTCTTCACTAATTCTAGTCCACAGAATCGAAGGTTATTAGAATCACCATGATGGTATTCTATCAAATGTCTAGAGATAGGTGTCTCCAGACAATTCCTGGGGGACCTTACATGTTCCATAATTCTGTCTCTAAAAGCCGTAAAAGTTTTGCCTACTTATTTTTGTCCGCATGAGCATGTCAGCAGGTAAACAAGGCCCTTTGTATTACAGTTAAAGAAACTCTTAACCTTAAAGGCACCTTGTCCAGCACAGGACAATTTGAATGGGGGATTGACAGACACATTCTATTGGTAGACTGCTTATAATGACGTCCCATGATTTATTAGGAGGAGGAGGGATAACCTTTTATAACGGGTGAGTGTGAGCGGGGGATTCCTTACCATATTGTATGCCCTTGAGAAAGGCGGTTTGCCCGCCGAGATGCGCGTTGGGCTATTTTCTTTGATGCTGTTACACTTTTTAGCATCCCGTTAAATGTTACTTTTGTTTTGCTCTATGTGCTGTGCCCATATGATATACTGACCGGCCGTTTTTTTCAATAGTTGGAGCACTTGTATCTATATTAGGGGTACCCACAGTGGAGGTGTCCCTTCCTTTTTCTTTGTTGTGGACCCCCTGTGGACTACTTCTTTTCCCCCTTTATTTTTCATTATATGCTTTCTTCTCTCCTTTCGATTTCTTACCTTTTAGTGATAAGATTTTTGGGCATCTTAGAATATTTAGATACTACTTTTGATTCATAAGGGGGATTTCTTATGTGCCATTATCTGTTGATATTTGTACTAGGACACAGCACATTGGCTCTTTGACCATCATTCACATTTTTTGCAATCATATATCTTGTGAGTGCATGATGCTACATTGTTTCCAGCAATAACTACTATGTTCACTACAAGTGTGGTAACCTTTTTTCAAGCTCTCACAGATTGATTCAATAGTGATTGATTGCTGGTATCATTTATATTGTTTTTCTTTTTTGGGATGTTCAATCTACATGTTTAATTTATATCTTATTAAAGTTTATTCTAGTTATACTAGCCTGTATATTTATATATCCTTTTAGGGGTAGCTTTAGTAGGAGGATTCCCCTCGGCTTGATACGGGAAGATTTCTCCCTACTATTCTTTCTAACTCTGATTGTTGCTATATGTTATGGTTTGAGCAATTGACATTTTTATGTGCCACATTCTTTAGTGTTTACAGAGAATGATGTCAAAACCAAACCTCCAGTGAGCATCGATTTAGTGGACAAAAAAATGCCTTGTTAATGAGTATGGCCAGCATACTTCAAACCGGCAAGAAGGTGCTTGACATACGCACTGAAATTACCATATTTTACAGAATTATTATGCAGTGTGCATCTGGAACATCCATCAAATCTTGACCTAGATGGGCTATAGCAGCAGAAGCCCAGAGTAGGCACACTAGAACTGGGCAATACAAGTCCAATGAATTCTGCCTGGTCTGACAAGTCTCCATTTTTGCTGTAGTATGTATGATAGTAAAGTTGTCATGTGCTATAAACAAGCTGATTTCATCGAACCATCCTACCTTGGGACAACAATTTAGACTAGTTGCACTGGTGGTGTATTTGTGTGGACCCTATTTTCCTGGCACATGTTGGGCACCTTAAGAGCAAGCAAGCATTGTTAAATGACCGCATACCTGAGTGCTGTTCCTGTGTTTTCCCTTTATAGCCACCGTGTCCTTTTTTTATTTAACTAATTACACAAACATGACAATGATGTCATTGTACTATAGTGGTGTGCATAGGCACTAAATCTCAATCCAACAGAGCCTTTTAGAATGTAGTTGAATGTCAATCACACCGCCAACATGAAACAAATGGTTCCTTTTTTTTTTTTTTTTTTTTTTTAAATCTCAGCACATTTTGTTCCTTGTTAATTGAACTTTAATCACACAGTAGCCCGTTGCAGTCTATTAACATAGCAGGAGTTCAGAGATTCTAAATTAAACAAAGTGTTCAATAAGACAAGCTAAATAATCTAGATTCATTTTGAGGAAGTGTGTAGGGAGGCTATGTGAGTCTCAGCTGTTGAGGCTTGGCTATGGCTGCATAAACAAAAGTGATTTGAGCACCGAGACTGCAGGAGTATAATAAATATAAATAAATATATATATATATATATATATATATATATATATATATATATATATATATATATATATATACACCAAATTCACTTAAGATAAATTTGTTTTTGTGCCTAAAGTATATCCCTTTTAAACACATGACCTGAAACACAATCTCTATGGAATATTTCCAACACCTTACTAAATCCATGCTTTCGATAATTCAGGCTACTTTGAGGACCAAGGCGGGTCAACCCAGTTTTAGAGAGGTGTATCAAATAAAGTGCCCACGAAGTGCATGTTTTGCTCATAGTGAGCAGCTGGTTTAATTGTATCATGTGTTTTAAATTACAAGCTTATGTCTGAAGGTTTTCCCCCCTGCTATTTAAATCTATAGAGCTATTTTTTTTTTTACCTGCTTGCATGAGTGTTCTAACTACGTACAAGTGTTTTTGAAGAGCAAGACCATACTTGTGTTGATATATCATTCTGCTTAAAGGATGATCATTCTGAATGACATCATGTTGGAAATAAATGAATATCTTTTTAATTTATGAGCAGAAAAGCATTTAAAGAAACACTATAGTGTTACAAACACAGACCTGTATTCCTAATTCTATAGTGCCGTGATATAGATATATATATATATATATATATAATATTAATTATATGAAAGTCCACAAGATGGACTGAAACATTGATCTGTTTTAGAAGCTGGAATAAAAGTTATATTTTAATGGAATTCCGAGAGTGCAACCAACTATTTTTCTGTTTGGATATTTAAGCCCTGGCATTGCACCCGGTTTTTAAAAAAATGTGGAACCTGCGTGCAAGGTACAGTCTATTTATTTATCTATATATAATCCCCACCCCCTTCTTCCTTTTTTTTTTTTTTTAACATTATTTAATAAAATAAAGGTTAAATTTGCATTTTTACAGTACCGAGACTCCCTTGGCGCTGCTCACCTATCTGGCTTTCATGACCTCATTGAAAAGGAATGGCCTTCTCTGGCGATGGTCCCATGAAATGCTGCTTCTAGAGGAGCACTGGTCACACATACAATGCTTCTCATAGGAATGCATTGAATTTAATGCTTTCCTATGAGCTTCCATATCACGTGACCGTTTTACTCCGTCAGTGCAGCGAATGCACTTCTACTGGCTGTCAGTATGACAGTAATTACAAGGGTGCTTAACCATTCAAGGTAAACATCACCCTTTATTTAAAATGCATTTAATTGGCTGAGATTTTTAATACTAATCTCAGCCATGGATGTGGGCTGGGGGCAGAGCTAAACGCTGTCCTGGCCTATCCAAATCTCCTCATAGTGATGAATTAAATCAATGTATCTCTATGGGGAAATCTCAACATCTCCATACACAGGTGGACACACTGAATGTCAGTGCAGCACTTTCCCAGGAAGCACCTCCAGTGGCCGTCTAAGGAGTGGTCACTGGAGGTGTCCCTAGGCTGTAATGTAAACACTGCCTTTTTTCTGAAAATACACTGTTTACTACAAAATACCTGCAGGGTCTGATTATACTCACCAGAATATCTACGTTAAGCTGTAGTTATTCTGGTGACTGTAGTGTCTTTTTTAGAAATCCCTCTCTGCCATAGATCAATAATAAACCAGAAGTTGCACTGATAAAGGCTATTATATATAATTATTTAGTTTCATAATATTAAAAACTGAGTTTTCCTTTAACTCAGGTGGTCACTGCTTATTATAGAAAACTGTAAATGTGTGCCCTCCCAGCATACCCAAAAGTGGCACATATTTAATGCTTATAATGTACAGAGGAACACCTTTGCAGTAAAGAATAAATGGTCAATCCTGAGGAACATGCTATATTCAGGTCCAACAGAAGTTAAGAGTTGTAATTTGTGGCTGCAGCTTGAAGGGATGAGATGATCTGTCACTAGAGAAGATGGCTATGTCCCACAGGCTAAAATTGGTCAGTGTTTTATAGGTGTGGATTGGTACCTTGAATTGACTCCTAAGAATCCAATGTAAGACAGAGGGGAGAGATGTGAAAGAAGCGACAGAAGAGGAAAATCAGTCTAGCTGCAGCACTCATTACAGACTGTAGCAGGGCAATATAACTTGTGGGAAGACCTATTAGGAGAGAGTTAAAATAATCCATGCAAGAGATTACTAGAGTATGGACAAGCTCCTTAGTAGCATCTCGCGTAAGAAAGGGGCGGATGCGGGCTATGTTTTTAAGGTGGAATCTACAGGATTTGGTAACAGACTGGATGTGAGGCTGAAATGTGAGGCCAGAATAAAGTATAACGCCAAGACGGCGTGCTTGCAAGGATGGACTGATGTGGTTACCACTTACTTGAAGAGAGAGTGAAGGAGAGGTTCAGTATTTGGAGGAAGAAAGACAAGGAGTTCAGTTTTAGAGAGATTGAGTTTCGAAAAGCGAGACGATATCCAGTCAGAGATGGAAGAAAGGCAAGCAGTGACACATTGCAGGACGGCAGGGGACAGGTCCGGGGAGGAGAGGTATATCTGAGTGTCATCAACGTACAGGTGGTATTGGAATCCAAATGAGGTAATTTTGCCAAGAGAGGCAGTATAAAGAGAAAATAGGGGACCAAGTACAGAGCCTTGGGGGACTCCAACAGAGACAGAATGAAGGAAGGAGGTTTCATTAGAAAGGAGACACTAGAAGGAAAACCAAGAGAGGACAGTGACCGAGTGTTTGAAGAGTTTCGTGAAGTAGAACATAGTCAACAGTGTCAAAGGCAGCAGAGAGGTCAAGAAGAATTACAACTTTGGATTCAGTTGTGATTAGGTTGTTAGTGACTTTAATAAGAGCAGTCTCAGTAGAGTGGAGGGGGCGGAAGCTAGACTAAAGAGGATCAAGGAGAGAGCTGGAATTGAGGAAACCTGTATTTCCTGAAGCTTTGAGGAAAAAGGGAGCAGGGATATGGGACGATAGTTAGAAGGGGAGGACGGGTCAAGAGATTTTAATTTTTTTTTAAGATGGGTACTAAGGGCAGCAGGGACAATGCCAGAAGAGAGAGCAGTTGAAGATGTGTGTTAAGGAAGGCACAAGAGGAGAGAGATCTGATGAGGTGGTGGGGCGGGAGGAAAGTAGAAGCGCAGCCACCTCTTGTTTAGTAGCCGGGGAGAAAGTCTGAAGGGTAGGAAAGGCATGATCCAGGTGTGGTTGAGAAATAGAGGGGCCTGGTCATGAGAACTCTTTATTTAGCTATTAAATCTTGTCGGTAAAGGTATGGTTGACATGAGTGAGCTTGAAAGATTGTATTTTATAGAGTAAACCCAGCTTGTGTCCATACACGTTGTGTGGTGAGGTTAATAGTTGTGAGAGCCTGTTTAATGCTATTAAACACACACAAAAAATCTTAATCATAAAATGTAAAAGGGGTTTATTGTTCTAAGAAAAAAAGTCTTCCTTCCACTAGTGTCAAAGAACAAGTAGCACCTTGCATGTCTGTAATTGTCTGCTGTGTTTATATACTGCCACGGGCTGAATGGATGCAATCCAATTTTATAAACTGGCATTTATCCCAGGAATGTAGTGTGTTCACAGGTATCCTAGTGTGACCAGGGTAAATGAACACAAACTTACATCACACACGCCTTGCTGGGTGTTTGGTACTACAGCATCTACTTGTACATCAAACACGAAATGCAATCTTACAGTCTAGACTTCAAATAATTTACAATTCACATTTAAGAAATAAAATTAACAAAGGGTCAACGCTAAAGTGAGGACTAATGAACCAATGCTTTCAAAACCAATAGATTCAATAATTGAATCTGCTTGACATCCTGTGTTGGTATGTGATGCTATGTGCATCCAGTTCCTCTAAATGCTGAAAAGAGTTGGTCCACCCAAAAAATAAGGATATAAACCACCCAGGTGCAATAAATACAAAAAAGTAAGTACCCTTTCTTTTGAAAGTAAGGTATAACAAAGGATTCTTCTCAATTCTCAAAATACAAATGGCAAAAAACAAGATATACCTAAAAGCATAAAGAGGAGAAAAAGGAAAAAAATCATAGGGTAATAACATAAATAATAGAATTCAAGGTTGCACTCACAGCGTGTGTTAAGATTTTACATCATTGTTGCACTATGTTCCTTTTAATTCTCTTTACATGAATCATTGGACATCTGAATATTGCTGGATCTTTTGGAACCGACAGATTATTGATGAGCCTGAATTTTCTGCTACTCTGTGAGTGCAATCTTGAATTCTGGGGTTCTCTATTATTTACGTTATTACCCTATGAATTTTTTCTTTCTCCACTTTATGCTGTTAGGTATATTTTGTGTTATGCCACCCAATGAAGGGCAATGTCAACCTGGCATCACGCATGAAAGCCAACAGCCTCTCCAGCAGGGCTTCAACAAAGAAGAACTTGCAGAGCGTTCTCTCTACATGGACCTAAATGCCCACCATACAGTTGGAGCTCATCTAATGATGCACTCAAGCCATGCTGCCTGCAGACAGTTCCTTGGTGTTTCACATTCAGGGCACCGGGGGAAAAAAAATCAGGATTGCGGGACAGGACCATAAAAGAGAGACTGCCGGCTGAAATTGGAAAGTTAGAGGTCTATCTATGCAATGCTATGAGAAGTATCTGATTTGAACATGTACATGTATTTTTTTTTTTTGGTAGTGAAAGGATTAATGTATAAATATTATGTGTCAGGGAAGTACATCAATCTCTACGCATGCATTCCAAAATGTGAATAGATTTCTTACTGGCCAGCCTCCAACCTGTAATAAACCTCTCAATGATTCAATTACTCCACAGCAATCATTCTAAAACCTGTCACCAGTGAACACACAACAGGCTAGGACCTGTGTATGCTGGAAAATAGGTAAGAGAATTGAGCTTCTAAAAAACCTTTAACAAATACAAAATTGTGTTTAAATATTTATAGATCTATTTTAATGGACTCTTATTTTACATCTGCATCACTGAACTAATACTGTGTGTGTTTGTGTGTATATTCTCTATTGCCCACAAATAAATTATGTATAGAAACTTTTTTTTTTTTTTTTTAGTTTTCTACATTATTCCTAATTGACAAACGTCCAAACCTATTTGTGTATCATTTTCTTATTATCTTCAGCACCTATAAACTGAAGTTTAGTTATAATGCACCTGATATACACAAATATGTTACCGTTTCAATTACTGGGATCAACAAGTTATCTCTTATTTGTTTAAAAGCCTCTAAGGAAGCATTATACAGTTGCACCCAGTATTCAGGAAATAAATCGGTGGAATTTACTTGACTGAATAAAACATTGAAATCACCTATAAGGTATGTTTCAACAATGATTGCAGAGACCAAAGATAGAGGTGCCTAGTTGCAGGAAAAAGGGGTGTGGATTTCTGCATTTAATTTTATTTTTTTACACTTTACAAATATATATTGGTTGAATATGGGGCTGGGTAAACATAATATTTAAAATCTAGGAAGTTACAGTTTCCCTTTAAGTTGTGAATTTTGATGCATAGAATACGTTTGGAAGGCTACAATGGGGTACTGAATAATTTTATAGTAATGTAGAATCTCTCAGTATAGTGGCAAAATTACTACAACTACACCTTGAATTTTTTTTGAATTTTTTAATTACTTAAGATACATTGTCGTGTTGTCCTGACATTTTGGTGTTTGCTGATCCCGTGTGAATATAGAATGTCCTGGATTTAAATGAAATGAGTAGGGATCTTGAGTATTTACAGACTAAAATGTTACACTACAAAAACTGCATTTTATTTGTTAGTGATTTAAGCCTTTTATATTGTGTAAGAACAATTGCACTTAGCCAAGACTCTCTTATCTTGAAATCTTAATTACTTGTGTGCTAAGACTCCTAGATAAACACATATTTCATATGAATGATGTTTGTTACTGATTAGAGAGAGCAACATGAAGAAAGGAGACCTATTTACAAAGATGAGGGATCAGAAGCTGGAGAGAGCAGGACAAGATACTGTGTGGGTATTGAATACTAGTGAAAGTAGAGGAAGGGGCATTCTGAAGGGTACTATATCTGGGGAGTAAATAGAAGGGGAATGATTTAGGACAAGATAAAAAGGAGGAAAGTGTCAATGATTAGTAAAATAATGTGAATGCATTTATGGTAGCTCCTGGAATAATACTTGGAGAAGGAAGTGGAGATAATACTACAGATAGACATTGCATAATAATACTGTACTGGGATAGCATGGCAATAGATTTATGAAGAGAATCATTATATATGAGGAATGGAATTATACCATTCACTGATCTTTTCAACTTATATTTTTTTTTAACAGGAGTTGTTCCACATGACTGGAGAACTTCACAAGCTCTGCCACTTCATAAAACTGGCCGTAAGGAGTAATTAGGTAATTATAAGTTAGTCTCACATCTGTCATGAAGAGACTGTAATGAATGACCTGCAATCGTTACATTGCAGACCCTTTGCGGAGTTGTTCTATAATCCAGCTGACTTTATTATAGTCCTTTACAATCTGTTTTTGTTATGCGTTGCAATGACTAGAATAGAGGCAAAATACAGTGCAGTCAGGAAATCAAGAGTCTCAAGATATTGAACTGGATGGACTTAAGCAACTGAAGTTAATAATGTAAGAAGTTCTAAAATGGAGTGTTCAAGTGTAATGACACACCAATAGAAGTGCAGCATTATTCAACAGACACATTTACCAGCTGCACCACTCTGTGTCACTATGTTGGCGTACATGTGTGCTGTAATGTTGTTTGTGTTGAGTATGTGGCCAAACCAAAAATATAAGTTAAGCCCAGTCCAGGCCCCTTCACTCTCATTGGATGTTATTAGTTGTGTTTTTTTTGTGCAACGTATTTGCATTTTGTCCTGTGTCCTATATACAATGTATTTGTGTGCTGTAAAGCAAAGTATGTACCTGGGCCCATCTACCCACCTTTTCTGTTTATATCTGCTTCCGATATGAGACTCTCCCTACCTTTAAAAGTACACTCCAGGCACATTCACCACCACAAAGCACTGTAGTTATTATGGAGCCCTGGTGTACCCTCATTGTAGTCAAACTTCTTACTCTGGGTCAGCAGGGTATGGCTCCCCGTTTCTTCTAGCTCAGCCAGAGAGCTGGAAGCTGAGATCAAACAGATGACACACTCCGCCAATGACCTCGCTCTGCATGCCAAGCTTCAGGTCAGCTAACAGAAGCTACTTAGTAGGAGTATCCAGCTATCTTCCCTGTCTGAAGTATTGGAGGTGGGAAGCAGCGCCTGGAGGACCCAAGATATGAAGTGAAATCATTCAAAAACGTTTGACTCTTTACGATGGGGGATGGGGCACTCCTGGCACTAAAACAAATGCAATACATTGTAGTTGTTATGGTAATGGAGTGTTACTTTATCATCTCCCTACAGACTGTGAAAACGAGGTGCCACTAAGTCTAGCATAGAAATGTTTGTACCTAAACATGGAACCGATTGATAGGACCACTTTTTAATTCCCCTATTTGTATAAACACAGCTAACAAGCCACCAAATCCAGGTATGTACACTGTTCTCACAAATACAATACATGTATTTGTTCTCACTGACTTGTCCTTGTCCTTCTATTTGATATTCAAAGGGATTTGGGAAATTCAGTTTTCCTTATTGCAAGGGCAGGTATAATAACCTGAGCTATTTCATTTTGGCAACCTCTGCTTTTCTTTAACATGCGGGTAAATTCATGCCTACTAAAAGATCCATTAACCCTCAAGTTGTCTTTAAGTTTTATAATGAAGTCAGCTTTTTCAGTTCAATGGAATTGGTAATCCAAGCTTATTTAAAAAAAAATGTGTTTTTGTTTTTTTTTTTCATTGGTTTTATTTATGGACAAACAGGTTTCTGAAACGCGATAGCAACACTTCCAAGAATGGGAGATGAGATGGTGATACAAGACAACCTGAAACAAAATGAAGAGAATATGCTGTATTTGTATGGCTCAACTGTAGGACATATTACTGAAGAAACTGAATATATTCGAAGGGTAAGAACCCCTTCCTTCCAAGTCACTGAATTTATTAAATAGAAAGCATGCACAATAACCCCCACCTGAATAAAGAAGTTGTAGTAACAGAGATATATATATATATATATATATATATATATATATATATATATATATATTTTTTTTTTTTTTTTTACACTTGCAAATATCAACTTCTAGAGACTTATGGGATAATTTACTGAAAATGGAATGAAGGAAGTCGGAACATTCCTTTTTTATAAAATTCACTGTATATCATCCACACTGTAATATAGCCCCACATATGGTGACTTTATGGGGCAAAACACTATACCTTTACACAGTAGCTTATGGCTAAGGTTTCATGGTCATGAAAAAAGAGCTGCTTCCCTGGACATGGTTACAGAAACAGCAGCAGTGTTAAAGATGGCAAGATTCCTCCAGGTGGCAGGTTTACACTGCTTAGCATCTTCTTTTAAGGAGTCACTGTGCGAGGGCTCAGGCTAGAGCAAAGAGTCAGCCAACAGCCGCACTTTACACCAGCTTCCTTTCACAGTTACCAAAGCACATTCAACATCGTGGGTGTATTGTCACACCAACAGATTTTCAGGTGCCACCATGTAAACATCTTGGCAATTTTCCACTGCTTCCTACGTAAAGGGGCTGATTACTGTGATTGACTTTCTGGCCAACTCATTTATTTGCATGGGAATATAAGCGATCTAACCCCATTTCCAATCCCCCTTCCGTTATCTTACTTTTCACTAACTTCAGAGAGTACTCCCTATTATTTCATAAGAGCTGAACATATTTTGCTTTTACCAACTCATGGGGAGCCAAGGTGTTTTGTTCCTGATTCATGGATTAAAGACGCCTGATGATAGTGACTCTCATATTCTGTTGTTTGCAACGTGTCGCTTGTACGTTGAATGCATTGTTTACAGGGATGATATTGAGGGTGGATTTGACTCTTTACTTTGAGCAGCATTATTGCTTGGCATCCAGCTAGAATATGTCACACAGACAAGGAGTGGATCCATCTGCGTCTGCTGGAATTGCAGGGACATTATTTGCTCTTTTATTCTTTCATGTCTGCCTAGTTCATATCTGGTGTCATACCCTTCCCTTCTGGGCACATATTCCCAAATCAGAAGGTTAAGGTCCCAGAACCATAGGCAGCTCACCCGTTGACCCCAGTCCATCATTCTTTACATAAGGCTGGTAAATGGAGCCAAGCAAATTCATGAATTGGGGGCCCCCTAGCCTTATACATTGCTTGCAATAAACTCGAGCCTCCAGTATTCAAGTAAGAACTTTTAAAACGTAGCTTTTATGTATGGTGTTTACACGTTATAAAACGTGTAAAGCTAATTACTTGGTGGACTATGCTGTATTAAGATTTAGCAGATGGTACATATTGTTTTATTTTTTGTGCCATGATTTTTTAATTTTTTTTATTATTTATTCATTTTTAAATCAGTGCTATATTTTAAAGAGTACTTACTTGAATCCTGGAGCCTCAAGTTTATTGCAAGCAATTTATTTGGTGTCTCTAGCCACGGTGTGTATTTTAATTACAGATTATTATGAAGAACTGGAAACACCGGCTGCTGGCATAGGTAAGGGTTGCTGAGTCCTACTACTATATCATTTCTGTATATGGTTATCATGCAGCTGAAGCACTAGGCAGCTGCCTTAGGTCACCTTGTGGTTAATAATGCTCTGTCTCATGTATACCATATGTTCGTAGATTAGTGAATTTTACATGGAGCAGCAGAAAGTGTTGAGCTGTGTGTGTTTTATTCATTTATTTATCTTTAACATTCCACACTATCTAGCGTAGAGTTCTCATTTCTGAAATACACGGAAACTAGCAGAGATAAAACCTATCATGTGTAAGACCCATAGCCACCATGCATATATACATTTGTCTGTGTGCTGTGTCTCATAAAAAACATTTATAGGAAGACATAACTGACCCTTCGAACAGGTGAATAGTTCATTCAGTCAAACCGGATTAACAGGAAGCTATTTATCTGTAATTTTGGAGGAAATTCCTCTAGCTTTGCACATAGTGAAACACCACTTGGGAGGACACATCGACATCGGAAATCTGTAGAATATAGACTAATCGGCTCCAGAGATGGTGACCCTAAGACTCCAGATATGCTTTGAAACCCTGAGATATGCAAAATTTGAGATACAATGGATGTTAACTGCATGCTCCATCACAACGTATGGTTCTTACATACATTATTTTACACAAATGCCCCTATATATGTTTGTCTTTGGCTTCTAATGACTGTTATCTGCAAACCCTACGGCAGCTGGAAGCCTACTTACCACTGGGATATGTCCTGGGGGACATGCCACACACATGCTTGCCTAACATGTGTCCACAGAGAGGACAGCACTATACAAGTCCTTTCGATTTTAGATCCTTCACATACAGCTCCATTCAGACAGTTCCTCCTCAGACTATCAGTGAGTTGATGGGAGCTTCCTGGGGGACTTGCTACATTGGTCAAACAAGCACATTATCCCACCACACTCCACTTCCCTACAATAATAATAATAATGAAGAATACAGCTACATAATATACCTTAGTATTGGACTGTAATACGTCGGCTTGCCATTCTCTCCATGTTGTAGCCTAAGAGGCTTTAGACCCTTGCTTCTTTGCCATCTGTCCCGCTGTAGCTTACTGCACCATTTAATTCACATTTTGTTTATGAAGTTCAAGATAAATGCTCCTGTCTTCTAAACTATCAGTAAGTATCCTGTAAACCTCTACTTCGTGTCAAACATAACCGGTGTTATGTCAGACATATTTCCCACATTTTCCTTGTTTGTGCACAGTTACCTAGGAAATTTTATGTAGTGACTGGGTTTGTATTATTATAGAATTATATGACTTAAAGCAGAGTATACCTCATTTGTTTGGTGCAAGCCACAAGCTTGCAGTGCTGTTTTTGTGACTGTTTTCCATGTATCTAGATATCGCTGTATTGTCTGGTAACCCGTGGCAACATTCTGATTGGCCAAAGATCGTGAGACCCTGCACAGTCTGTGGCTCACACCTGCCAGAGCTGCAGACTATGCTGGCTCTCTGCCTTTCAGGGCAGACTGGAGGGGCCCTCCTGGTGTCAGATCCTCGGTGAGGGACCGAGGACCTAACACAGTCTGCCTGCCCTATGGCGAGTTAGGCGGCTGCGAGTCCTTAGGTCGGCCGTCTAACTCGCCTAATTAGAGAGTCACCGACCAGCTACTGACAGAGGTGGAAAAATGTCACCCCTGTCAGAGTACCACCTGCAGCCGTGGCTCCACCACGGGCTATGGACATGCTGGCACTGGAAATGCAGCCCGATAAGTCTGCAGTACCTTGTGACAACTTTGGAGATTCTCTAAATTAGACACGCATGACGCATGTTAACCCTGAACCCAGTTTTTTGTTCTTTTTTACATGCCCTATATAGTGCTGATATTTTTTCACAAACCAGAAGCAAACTGATGAAAATAAAGTAAAAAGTTCTAATTTCAAAGGATCCCAGCTATGAGTGAGACTTTAAGCAGGTGGGGATTTTTTATTTGAGATGTGGAGAAGTAGGAAACAGATTAGAAATGTTTATGGTCATGTTCCAGGTTTTCCACATGGTGGCAGCATCAGACCATAGAGCAGTGAAATCTTTAACATTAAGCACTGTATTTCCAGGCTCAATCCATTGTGATGCTGTTACATGTAATTTGCAAATAAAATGTACCCAGAGCACTGGTGTTAAAAAATAAAATAATAAAAAATAAACAAAAGTGATTTTTCCAGATTGTTTTAAAAAGATATATACCTTTTCATAAATATTGGATTTGCTAGTCTGACCCATAGTATGAGTACGTTTCAGAAAAGTTGAGATTTTAAAACACTCTCTAATACTAGGCTTCTTATTTTTCCTTCTCATAATACTAATCCTTCTCTTTCACTCTCCCTGCAAGTTGATGGTATACACATCACCCAGCCCTTAAAGGGACACTATAGTCGCCAGAACAACTACAACTTAATGTAGTTGTTCTGGTGAGGATAATAGCTCCTTTCAGGCATTTTCATGTAAACACTGCCTTTTCAGAGAAAAGGCAGTGTTTACATTGCCCGTAGGGACACCTCCAAGTGGACATTCCTTAGATGGCCACTGGAGAGGCTTCCTGGCTCAGGGCTGCACAGTAAGCAGCCCTGCCATTCAGCGTCCCCACGCTCTGCATGTAGACGCTGAATTTTCCTCATAGAGATGCATTGATTCAAAACAGAATTTGGCCCCGCCCCATGTCGATTTTAGCCAATCCAATGCTTTCCCTATGGTGTGACAAAGGGGGCGAAGTCAGCGCCGGCGGGCCCCTGCGCCGTTGGAAATAAGCTTAGTTTTAAACTTTTATAGTTGGGCTAGGGGGGGGAGGCAAGCCACCTAAATGGTGGGTTTAGCACTATAGGATCAGGAATGCATATTTGTGTTCCTGACCCTATAGTGATCCTTTAAATGAATTCTGTCCTGGTGTCTTTAAATCAGGCCTTACCCGTTGCCACATCCTGTTGATTCCACCTTAATAACCTTGCCCGCGACCACCCCTTTCTTAAGCAAGATAATGCTATTATTTTCTCTCATTGATTACTGTCATTCTCTCCTAATCTGTCTCCCCAGAAACTGTATTCACTATAGTCGGGCTGATTGTTTTTTTTTCCCCCTCTGTCAGTCCTTTCATTGGTTTCCTGTATGCTAAAGGAGTCCCTTACTGACTAACCCTTACATAGAAAGATTTAAACAAATTGCCTCTGGTTTTTTTGTTTGTTTGTTTTTTTTCCACTAATTCATAGGTACGCCCCTTTTCAGTTTCTCTCCTCTGCTGGTGACTCTCTCCTGTCCGCTGCTCGCACCCTTTCTGCTAATTTGCAATGACAGGACTTCTCACGGGCAGCTCCTTTCGTTTGGAACAGGCTGCCTACCCACATCAGACTCTCCCGTAGTCTTAATCATTAAAGAAGGTCTTCAAAATCCACCTCTACAGAAAAATGTGTAAGGCTTCTCAGAGTAACTTCTGTTTCACAAACCTGCCTTTCTCTCCCTTAAAGGGCCACAATCCACTCTCCTAATTCTGTTCTGCAATTTTCCCACCTTGTCGTTTTGGTTGCTACCCCGACACCCCTCTTTCTATTGTGGTTTATTACCCCATCTCCTCTAGATTGTAAGCTTGTTTGAGCAGGGTCCTCATCATTTTATAATATTGTAAAGAACTACTGAATAAATTGGCGCAATATAAATGCTAATAATAATGGTATTATTACTATAATAATAATCCTCATGGCTTATGTATTTGTATGCTGGGGGCATAACCGGAATTTTGTGATATTGGGGTACAAGTAGGTAATTTGTGTGTTAAATTTTTTTTTTTAAATATGGTGCTTAAAGCAACACTCCCACCCCAATAAAATTTTAAGCCTATTTAGATAGCTATGTAGCCAGGAATGTTTAGAAGCCTTATTTCCTTCTAATGCTGTTTAGTAACAGTTTAACCTTGAAGTCAAGGCTCTACACCTGGTGCTACTGCCTCTGGTATATTGTGCTTTTGTTGTTGTGCTGTACAAAGAAGGGATAGTCAGGTGACCAAGGTCACCTTCAGACTATCAGTGAGCACACACTGCCGAAAATGCTACACACCTTTGCTCTTTAAAAGAAGATCACATGAGAAAAGTTAACAGAAGATTAAAGTGATTTTTCTCTATATTATTTAATAATTTCCAGATAAGTGTCCTTTCCCCTTTAAATATACTGTTTGGTCAGACTCTAGTGCAAATTTTTTTTTTTTACATTAAGAGGATATTTATGACCAGCCTTTCTCTGGCAATATGCAAGTGATGCTATTCAGGTTATTGATCTACATTTAGAACTTAATCTTTATAATTAACTTCCATATTAATGGGACACTAAAGTTCTCAAAGCAACGTTGGCTTAAAGGACCACTCTAGGCACCCAGACCACTTCAGCTTAATGAAGTGGTCTGGGTGCCAGGTCCAGCTAGGGTTAACCCATTTTTTCATAAACATAGCAGTTTCAGAGAAACTGCTATGTTTATGAATGGGTTAAGCCTTCCCCCTAATCCTCTAGTGGCTGTCTCATTGACAGCCACTAGAGGCGCTTGCGTGCTTCTCACTGTGATTTTCACAGTGAGACGCAAGCGTCCATAGGAAAGCATTGATAATGCTTTCAGCGGAATGCGCGCGCGCTCTGCTGCGCGCGCATTCAGACGGGGAGGATCGGAGGAGGAGAGCTCTCCGCCCAGCGCTGGAAAAAGGAAAGTTTAAACCCCTTTCCCCTTTCCAGAGCTGGGCGGGAGGGGGACCCTGAGGGTGGGGGCACCCTCAGGGCACTATAGTGCCAGGAAAATGAGTATGTTTTCCTGGCACTATAGTGGTCCTTTAATGAAGCGGTTTTTGTGTATAGATCATGCCCTACAGTCTCACTTTTCCATTCTTTGCCAATTAGGGGTTAAATCTCTTTGTTTACGTTTATGCAGCTCTAGCCACATCTTCCTTAATTGTGTATGTCTATTTATATTTTTGCTGTACTTAAATATGTCTGCAATGCTAATGGGACTTCCTTCTCCTCCGCTGTGTAGTTGCATTCTCTCACCATGTTTTGAATTCATTCTGTGATCTGATTAGTGAATCACTCTTTTTTTTTTTTTTTTTTTGGCTTCGGTGAATATCACTGCAGGTGGCTATATTAAGGATTAAAATGCATGTCTTTACAATTAAAAAAAATATAGTAAGTGAGACTTTTTATTGATGTTCACTGAAGCTCGATACACAAATTAAAAATGAACTAATAAAAGGTGGTTTCTGCTTACTCCACTTCCAGATTCGAAGTACATTGGAAAAGATTCAAAATCAGTTATATAAAGATGATATTAATGGCAAAAACATTATTTCCAAAAATGAGCAGGTAAAGTAACTGTACACTTGTAATTATCAGCTTTTTCTCTTTTTTTTTTATTTGTAATGTTATTATTTGATATAAGGACCTGTTTCTGGAAGACCAAGGTGTATTGCCTTTCACTAGTAACTAATCTTGTGAGTTTGAGGATGGTTTGCTAGAGATTAGATAGAATTTGTAAGAAATGCAGGTTGTTTGCATTAGATGTCCTGACTTTCCTTTTCAGCCTGCAAAGCGTAAAATCATATTTATCTAATGTAAATACAAAGATCCGTATATAACAAAGTAATAACTCTAATTACACCTTTTATTTGCATCGTTTCAACATTTTTATAATTGTCTATTGGACTTGTTTGCTTTAATGCACTCACTCCCAGTGTCATATACAGTCTGTGCAAGATAAGTTTCCTTATGTAATTGTACTTGTTATATGTAAAGGTTTTAAAAATATTTACATCATTATCTTATTGTATACTATTATTATTTTTTACACCTGCTAATATATCATACGCTGTGTGCAATGTCAAAAATTAGTTGCCATACAATCTCACAAATGTTTCAAGGAGTCTTCCTCGTTGTGGTAATGGGTTTCGAAAATTGCTCTTTATTCTATGTATATGTGGCACAGAGAATTGAGGTATGATACAAAGAACAAGACATTTTCAACCAGTTAAATTGTGTTTCTTTCATAATTATGTGAATTTACAGCACAATTCAGTTGAAGAAAGCTCATTTGGCTCCCGATATAAACAGATCTTGGAGAAGTTGAAAGACCAAGACTTGTCCTTGGTTGAAGCCTACAAAGAAAATGAGGATCTTCAGATAAAGGTACCTCAAGTTAATGCTATGTACTGTGTTCACTCCTTAATATTATTTCGAATTTGGTATGCATCATGCTCTATCAATATGCAAGGTTTATTTTCGAAAAGCAAAACATTATTAATATTGTGGCGAGATCAAAAGTTGACCACGATTTCCCAAGTTCTAGCTAATATCCTTTATACATTACATTTAACGTATCACAAAAAACAAACCATATAATAAATAAGACCTTTTTTTACAGCGATTAGAAATAGATCTTCTGAATGGGACGATGGGTCATCTGCATTCTAAAATATATTGATGTGCATTTTTTAAAAAAAAATTTTATTCCGTATTGTATTGGTATGGAACCGTGACTAAAACGATAAACGTCAAATCGTCGCTGATGATGACTTGCATCCATTCAGTTTCCTTCTTTCCTCAAACTTTCCTATTTCCATCATCCTAGTATAGATTAGCCTCTGTCTCTTCAGTCCTCAAGACTCTCTCAGGGTTATGTACTAAAGTGAGTTGTGTAATTAATTTGGCCAAACTGGAGAAACTTTCCCAGTCATCTAGGCTTCAAATTCAGTTACTTTGACCTTAAATTTGTGATTCACTTTGCATCCTGAATTCTGACTTAAGTAAATAACCATGACAGTTCCAGAACTATAAAAGCTCTATTATGTACAGGTTCTAGTTTTTACTTAAAAAAAGAGCCAAATAAACACATTGTACAAATCAGAATAAAATATTAGAATTTGAAATGCATAATGTTATCCATGAGCATCCACAGTTTTGAGTGAGAGGTTTAGGGGGGGTTCCGCTCCAAGAACATAACTAAAACATTTTTTTTTTTTTTTTTTTTTAAATCAACGGCTTGTATATTGTGGTAAACTTTCTGCTAGCACAGTTGTCCTTTTAACACACTGTTTACCGTTTGCATGCCTTCATTCCAGAATGTTCCTGACCCGATTGACTCTTAAACTGAAATATCTAGGGATTATTTTTCCATACAAATATTGTCATTCTTTTTGAAAGTCTACTAGAGTGGTCTCATGGTTTACTGTATAATATGCCATCTCGCCTGTGAATTGTTACTTTTTAAATAATGTATCACGCAATTGTTTCAGCTTTGATGTTTCTGTCTCAGATTTTGTAATCTCTCAATGACCTTCACTACTGTTATTGATACATCTTTGTCATTAGTCAGTTGCTGATGTGTCTCAATGTGAATTTTAAATGCTACTTGATGTTCCAAATATAACTTTGTTAGTTCTTCTGTCCCTGAACATGCAATTCAGTCTCACACACTTGGCCAACAAACATCCAAACAGCTGACTGTTCAAATACCTGTGCTAGTGATAGGCACATGCTAGTATTTCATGCTTAGCGCCTTTTTGCGCAAAAATATTTGTGATAGTTGGTTCACTTGTAATTTGTATGGAATGTTTCTACTCCTTTCCAGTTAGAAGCTACACGTGAAGCCGGGTCAGGCGCTATTCGCGATGCAACCCGTAAACTGTATGAAAATTACAGCAAGAAATCTGAAGACCTCCGGTCAAATCATAAAGCAGAACAGCAAGTGTTACGGGTAAGTAATGGTCTTTTTATTGATATTTTTCTAATTAAAAAAGGAAAAATGTATATAGAATTTTCTAATATCCTAGGACTGTTTTTTTCTGTTATGAAGAGATAACCGGTTTCCTTTTTGGCAATATGGATATAATTTACAATATTTTTTAATTAGTTTGCAAAATAGTACTATTTACTTTGTCAGAAGAAAATAAAGAGGAGAGAGTGAGTATGTGTGTATCTTCCAGCATACCTGCAATACGTCCGGGTTTGGCCCTGAGACTCCAGGTGTGACAGCACAGCTGCACCAAGGAGAATGCCAGGACCTCTGTCTGCAGTCCAAGCTGCGTGGGACAAGGACATACAGTGTGAGACTGCAGCCTCCACAGCTGAGTCATGTTTTGGATAGTTGGGTTTTAGTGACTGTGAAATGCTGACGTGAGAGAGCAGAAGTGGTCCTGTATCTCAGATCAGTTTTTTCATATGATAGAATGAGCATTTAGTAGACTAAAGGCAAAAGGGAAGTGTGATTGGTAGAGAAGAAGTTTTTTGTGCTTAAGCCTTGTTGAGTTGAGACACGGTGGCGGAGCTACTAACCTGTAGAGACAAAGTCCAGGATTTGAAGAGTTGTCACCAGCTGCAATCAGGATGATTATGGACAAGGTGGAGATCTAGAAATGTTATGTGCAATGTGAGTGATAATGGGGAAATCTGCTGAGCTGTGAAGAAGGTTCTCCTTCAGCATTTGAAGGATGAGGCAAGGCTAGATGAATAAGAGGAACAGGTAAAGTAAGAGGTAGATTTTAGTTTACAATAAATGCATTGCAGTAAAATTCTGAAAAACCATAGACTGAAAATATTTGGAAGGTTTGTTGCTGGAGCAATGCCCACCTTCTCGCCACTTTTAATCCAACTCTAATATCACTTTATAGAGACCTAATTGTGCATTTTCAATTACTTGATCCTATTAGATGCTTACCTGCTTGATATGAGTATTATTATAGGGGCCACGGTTTGAAGCTACCAATCAGATCAGTGTTAGGTGTTGGTGACATCCAGAGCAAATGTAGCAGATACAGATTTTCCAAGCAAGGACTTGGACAGCTGATCTTGTAACACTAACCATGCATGGGTAAATCGGCTGTAAAAAAAAAAAAAAAAGAAAATGGCAATAGAAATCTAAAAATTACATTCCATTTTCTAGGCGGCTGTTGCTGAACACGAAGAAACCTTTAAGAAAAGTGTAGAGAAATTACACAACGTAGCAGAGAAAATTGAAGAAAAACATGGTCGAATTGTAGAATTGGAAAACCTTATGAAAAGAATGGAAGAAGTGCGTATGTGTGTTATTATATGCTGTTAGAAATTAGACATTTGGTATATCCCTCTCTATTTATTCTGCTAATATTACAAATGGGGGGTAGGGAGAAAAACACTAGTGTGTGCCTTGTTGCTTATGTCTCAAATGTACCTTCATATTTAGATGGTTGGCAGTTCTGGAGCGTAAATGGCTTTGTAAGAGGCCACAAAGAAATATTCACTAAGTGTGGAGGACCGCCGTCACTAAGTACCATGCCCACTGCTCATTCGTGTGTTTTCTCCTGTGTATTGTATGTTTCCCCTTGTTCCCCTTGTATTTTGTGTTATCCGCCCTGTTGACCGTTTGGGAGCACTCATGCAAACGGAACCTGTTTGTCTCCCGAACGTGGACCACTCCAGTACCCCGTTAGAATATTCACACCAATCAATCAGAACATTTACACCTGCAACATAAGTGTGAAACCGTAAGGGCAGTAATTTATGAGTGTTCCCCTGGGTGACCGCCATTTTGTATAGGCAAACGCCACCCCGGGGCAGCATTCATATCCCGAAATGAGACGCTTCCCTTGCGGGGTCTTCGCATCGGGACTCCACGAACGGGTCCCTGAGGTTGGTGGGGACACTGTTGAGGTACTGGCGGTTTGGATCGCCCTACCTGCTTCTAACTGAGCTACAATCACTACTTTACCCTCCCGGGAGCTTTGAGGCCAGGCTCATAGCTGCCGAAGGAGCACTCTCCCTGGGGCTGCCTAAGTGGAGGCAGCTACCGGAGAGAGGCGTAAGCCCCAGGGGAGACCCTCTAGGCGTGAGTCAGCTTCGCAGCCGTTCTGCTGGCCGCCTGGAAGTCTGTGTCAGCCAATGGGAAAAGGAGCTCCCATTCAAACTGGGTTCGAGCCATTCGCTTGATAGGTCGGCACGAGTGAGCGCTGATTGGTCGCAGTCACCCCACAGCGACCAATCAGAGAAGGGGTGCCCATTCAAACGGGTTTTGCGCCTTTTCTCCTGATTGGGCAGCAAAACACCCTCTCCTCCCTGGGTGCTGATTGGCACAAACCGATTTTGCGCCTTTTACCTTATTGGTTGTTGCTTGGTTTGGGCGCAATGTTTGAATTAACTGGCCTAAACCAAGCAACTCTATGGAACTAATTTCGGGGATGTACAGAGCCTCGAGCCTAGACTTTTTACAATGGTTTCTTGGGCTCTGTACATCCGATAGCCCCGCTATTTACAGGATTCCAAGTTCAGACCCGGGGCAACCCAGAGTTATAGGTTTTACATGTGTGACCTCTTCCCTTTATGGGGACAGAGCCCCTAAGTTTGCCCCCACCCCCCCACATGCAATATGGTTTAATCTATGCAACTGTTGTCATGTTGATCCTCCCAGAGCGGGAGATGGCTATCTGTATCCCATCCCCCCTCCTTCCTTGGACTAAGGGAAATGTACTGAACTGAATGGAGACCCCCTGCGGGCAGGGAGATGGGGGGAATGAATGCCTGCTTGTTATAAGGGTTCCTAAACGGCTGAAAGAAGGGAATCAGCAGAGGTAACTGGTCGGGTTATGCTAGGTCCGCTATAGCAAGTTGTGTTGAAAACCATCTGGGTTATTCACTAAAATCCAAATGACTCATTACCAAATGGGGAAATCGATCCGGGTCTAAATTTGGGGCAATGGGGCTAAATTTGTTACAGGTTTTAGCCAGACCAAAAACTGCTGAATGGCTGAAATCCAGAGTAAAGGCTTAAAATCCATGCCCAAATGCTTCAAATCTGGGTTTGGATTTAATTATTTTTTTTTTAATTCCAGTCTATATCCCCATTTTTAGTGATGGCGATACCAGACAGAAAATTGTTCAAATTCCTCAGACATGAGGGTTAATTATGTAGCGGGAGGCCTGTACGTTGATACCCAGCTGCCACATTAAAAAAAAAAAAAAAAAAGCCCTATGGGGTTAAAGAAGACTCCCATATTACTATAAAGGAGATTTAGAACAGTGGGGTGATGAGCACTCTAACAGCCATGTCTCATGAGATGTGACCTAATGGCTATCAGAGTACACCGGACATCCAACCGTATTTGGCTTTAGTAAATACGAGAATTACCATTGTGGCGGGAATTCCTCATGTTTCACAATATGGACCATGTTTCCCAGACTATAAAAAAATAAATGTTTTCCTCAGCTGACTGATGCTTCAATTACATTAATTAACATTTTACATTTATTATTTCCAGGAAAAGTTGGGGTTACTTGAAAAGCAATGGTTGCTTGAGAATGAAATTTCCCGAAGAATGTTAAATCCTGGAAAGAATGGGTCAGTCACTGTACATGTTTTATGCTGTATGTGATGGGTGCCTAGCTAGGGTGAAACCTCTACAAAAACACTGATTTAGTAATTACATAATTGGTGGTAAACAAAAAGGCTAATCAGTTTAGTATTTTTCCAACAACCAGAATTTCCTCTTACATTTGAATTAAGCTGCATACCACAAGGGCCAAGCCATATGCCTAAACCAAGCAACACTAAATACATGTATGGGCAAATATGATTAATTAGGCACTTACTAGGAAAGTGTAATGATCAGACAGATCTACTGCTACAGTGGAATGAAGGTACCATGATGCTCAGCAATCAAATATTAAAAAAAATGCATGTCTGTTGCTGGCTGAGAATTGTGTGGGTGGTAGCTCGTTACTTTACTTGAAAACTGTAGATCACTGGCATCCAATGCAGCGTTTTATTGGATTTGTTTAAATATGCATCCCTAATCGGCAGTGATGGTCTTCCCATATTGTAATCTCATATCCTGTAGCTGCATTAAACTATATTGCATTTATACGGCCATTTATACGATAGATGTGTTTGCTTTATTGAATGGATATAATTCAAACTTTTACATTCATAGTTTGACCTTTGAACAGACAATATCATTCTATTTAACGATTTTAGGATTATATTCTCCAAACAAAAGCACTGCGGCTATAATGTGAAGTGTGTCCACTGTTTCCTTTTGCTTTTTTATTCATTATTTATTTGTTTATGTTCAGTTCAGTAGAAATCAAGACTTTTCTAACTTAACCTTGTTACATCTCCCTGGATGTCCGACAGATGGTCCTTGCTTATTGTCTCCGTAAACTGTCAGACAGCTCATTAAGGCATGCGTAGCTGCAGATACTAGTTCTGCAGATATTGCAAGCCAATGTTTCATTATATCAACAAAGACCACATGCAAAACAGTTTTTTTTTATGCATGTTTTCTTTAACCCCTTCAGGACG